TTGTGAGAATGCTTAAACTTATGCGTGCAACTCAATAAGCTCCTAGATATGTTGACAATGTATAAAGAATAGAAGACACCTTTTATATCTCTTGATACATAAATTAAGATTGGCCTTTAGCAACACATCATGACTACCTAATTCTCTAGGAGGATTAATTAATTCATAATTACCTTTCACAAGTATGGTTACTTTACAATTGAGTCCTTATGTCAATTTATTACAATGTGATCTCGAACTTCTCAAACTTGATTTATAGTTTGTTCGATTATGATCACATAAGTTTTCTTCGATTTTCAAATGTCTTAGCTTCGAGTAAATCAATTATGCTCTATTGGTATACTTTCTCTATAACCACGGATTCCTCGAGCGGACATTCATCGAAGTATAATACGATAACTCCTTTAGCATAAAGGAATGACATGTCCTATCTTAGTCATCCACCGATGTCCATTAGATTCCTAGTGAATAAAACGAATCGTCCACATGTAGCTTTTTACCGACCCTATCAAAATGAATGTCAAAGTACATAAATTTTCTAATGAGATAACCATAATGACTTCAAGTCAAAGGACCTTTTGTACCCATTTCGTATGAGATTTTCATAGACTAAACCAAATGAATTCTCATGACGAGTCACGTCCAGATGATATGTCTTTTTTTATGATCGATTTTGTTTTGGCATCATCTTGGTCTTGCTTATTTATTTATTTTTTCATCATACGCCACTTTTATTGACTAATTGGTGTGAGAAACATTTATAAATTATATTATTTATAAGCTCGTAATGGATAAGGGCGGTTTATCCCTAGTAAAATACCCGAGTCTCTTAAATTTTGAAACCCTAACCATTTTTTCTACTCGACAACCGGATGGTGAGTGACCTTTCCTTTGGTTTGAGAGTTCTAAAGTTCCAATATTTCAACAAACCCTTATTTTGTTTTCTTTGGCGATGCCGATAATAGGGAGATTGATTCCCAAGATCATGTAGTCCCGACTAATTGCAACCTTATATATGGTTCGTCGGTCGTAAGTGATCGAGGGTGAGGCTTCTAAAGCTTCATGATAAGTCAAAGAGACAACAACCTACCCTTGTAAAATGTTGCAAGGTTCGAGTGAGGATTTTTTCCCTTCATAGGATTTACTAGCCTATAATACGATCGAGCATGCATAAAACTACCTTATGGTTTTTATCTCAAGCCTTCTCTTAGTGCGATTGGGTAACCATAGAGTAGCAAATATAGTCTAACTTAAGTGCTAATATTGTAAAGTGTCTCTCTTTAGTATGTATTTTATCTTCCTCACCTCTTTCATTCTTAGTCTTTTGTTTTTCTAGACCGTTGGCATAGTTATATATTACTGCTCATCTAGCGTGTGTTTTTCCGGTGATCAAACTTCTATTCTTGACTCTTAGACCCTACTCGATAGTATTTATGAAGAGTGCTAGCATTTCTCTCTCTAACACTCTACTTTCTCAATAAAAGTATCTATTTCAAATATTTTTATATAATTTTAAAGATAAACAAATAAACGAATAGTATTTTAGTCTTCTAGATAATGTAAAATTAGTTATAATTTAAAAAATTTCTAAAAATATAGAGTATTAATTATCTTATGTTTGCTATTATTTAATGTGGATACTTTTATTGAGTAAGTATTTAAAGAAGAGTGTTAGAAAGAATGTTGTTAGCACTCCTCCGTATTTGCTACTCTTATTTGCTTTTCCGATGGATTTCTCCCTCTTTCATATGTCCATACTACTAGGGTCATTTCTCTCCTATTAAACCTTCCTTCTTTTCGATTCGACAAAAGAATTTGCCCTTATATAATTAACGACCACGCTCTCCAAGGCTTTCTATTTCCTCTTGTCGAACTTTCATCCTTTCCTAATGGTGTTGAATGTTAAGGCGAATAAAGTTTTTAAGAAAACCCACGCCAATAAGATTTTTAGTTCATCTCTCGATGCCCACAACTTTCCATATCGTCTTTAAAGCTTCAGCATATATATATGTATACATATATATATATATATATATATATATATATATATATATATATATATACATATATGTTATTCTCTGGTCATTAACTAAAAACATTTGTTTGGCTCACATTTAAAGGCATTCGCTCATTGTACTATGCTTTATATCTTCCAAATAAACTAGTGCCCCATCAATCACTTTTTAATGGTGAATCTCTTCCTCTTCCGCCTTCTCCTTCCTCTCGTCCTAATGTTATTTTTGTGATTCTCTTTCTCCATGCATCCCTTTGATGTCCCCATCACTTCTTTCATGCATACCTTCATTTCTTATATCCTCTTAAGCTCATCCAATTTAAGGCCTTCTTGAACTCATCACTCGTTTACAATAGAGATCGGGTTGATATAACTATGGATACTATCAAGTCCGTTATTTTTAGTGTTTTTGCATAAAATCTCATCTTGAACTCGTCTCAACGATTTCTCTTCCGCCTTATGCTCATCAAAGTTGCTTGTCTTTTTTGGTCTTATATTGATGGCAAAATCCTCCAAAAATAGTTCCGCCAAGTTTCAAAGCTCACGATGCACCGAGGGAGAAGAATATTTGTTAAGGCTCTCTATATAGACTTAATTTTTCTATAAAAATTAATTAAAATTTTATTTAATTTTTTTATACACCGATCTATATATATATATATATATATATTTTTTGTTTTAGTATGTGTCCAAATTACACAACAATAAATCGGACTAAGGCCTAGCATAAGACTTTGGCCTTTGTAAGGATAGATATGAGTATTCTAATAGGTTTAATGTCTATTTATTATCTATGAGATTTATTAGAAAGATTAGGTTTGGAGTAGAATCAACTAGAAAAAGACATAATTGTTACTTTTTTTTAGGTTTTACTAGCAAATTAAAGTAGTTTAACTTAAAAAAATCCAATATTTTTAATAATCTGATCGTCTAAACATGAATGACATGGCATGATTCTAACATCGGAGTCATTTTTAATTCACTCGTTAGTATCAGCCTCACATCATTATGAAGGGATACTCAATTTTTTTCTTTGACAAAAGAATTTTTGTTTCTCTGTTAAAACTCTTCTATTCACATACTAGATATTATCTAAAATTCTATCTATTGAACTTTGACCACCCACTTATTAATCAATCAACTTTTTTCTTTTACTAGTATTATCTCGTTCTTCACGTCTCTCACTACTTACATCCATTTTATTTAATTGGTGAATCTTACTTAATTAGTCTATCAATAAGCTGTTTGATCACTTAAGAACTTCTTAAATATTTTGATCACTCTACTGGTGGGTTAGAGTTGATGATTATAAAAAAAAATGGCTCCTTCCAAGGACCACTAAAAAGAACACTAATCCTACTGCCACGAGCTCAATCCCCACAGCAATGATGACTCAAAAAATGGGTAGCCTAGTGTGTAAAGAGGCTTTCAGTATGTGTCTCGTGAAGGAGGATTCCTTCTCTAAGCTACTCCTTTCGGCTTTCGATCACAAAGCTTTCTTAATCTTTTAATTGACCATCTTCATCATAATACTCGTGCTCCTTTCATCCGAACTGTCACTCTCTTCTCTTTCCTTCTTCTCATCCTTATCTATTCTTTTTTTTCCTTCTAACCTCTTCCTCGTCTCTCTTCTTTTCCATGTCGTCTTTGTGTTTAAAAGCCGACTTAACATTATGGTTGGTCATAGCCTCTACGATCACTTGAGCGATCATCTACTGAACCTGCAGGTCCATCGAGAAGACATGTTCTGGACTTAAGGATGTCGTGCATTCGGTAATTATTGCCTATCAAGATCTTCTTCCCTTCTCTCATTCTCTCCTACTTGTCCATCACGGCTGTCCCCCAATTCCTCCTCTCGTGAACCATCAACTTCTCAATTCTCTCTCCCCACGTACGTCTCTTGTTGTTGTCTGGTTGTTTCTTATGCTTCGAGTGAGAACCATGATTTTTTTATGGTGATCTCTACAGATGGCACCAAATGCTGATGTTTTTGACTTGACTCCTCTCCAATGAACTGAAAGTCTTCCCTAAGAAAAAAGATTTTAACGAGCATTACCGGGGATCAAACCGATTTCCCCATGTTGTAAGCAGGAATTCTGGCCACTATACTGCAACAGCATAGGTTTAAAGAAATGAGAATCGTAGATAACTTGGTTTAAAATCAAATTTACAGATAGATTCTCCTGCTTCTTAAATTCTGGATAGGTATTATTTTCAAAAGTAAAATCAGTTCCTTGGTAAAGCTATCAGACTGAGAAAACCAATTAACTGTCGAAGTGAAAAAAAAATAATAATAAAAATAAATAAATAAATAAACACCTTACTAGGCTTAAATTAACTAGCCTCCAGCCCAGGCCCAGACTATCAAAAGACTGGGAAAAGTGGCTTTCTTGTACTGTTTCCTGATTATGAGAATGAGCTTTTGGTAGGCCATGGGCCCATGAGGCCCACCACTCACTCGCTTCCAAACGCAAGAAATTCCTTTCCATCTGGGATGCAATGCAACTCACCAGTGACGGAGACAACACAAGGTTTCCCATTTAGTCGGTGTAAGGTAAAGTATAATTCAAAATCTTTTTCTTTTTGAATGTTGATGATACATAATGGGTTTACACTTGACAATTGTTAATTAGGTTTTTGCTATTTTTTGTGTTTAGTTCTTAATGGGTTGTTTCTTTATTCTTTTTGCCAATGTTGTGAGCATTTTAGCTACTTTTGTTGCTAAATCCACCCCGAAATCGTGGCTGTCAGGATTCACTCAGTGAATTGACGCTATTCTATTCTTCTCCTTTGTTTGATTGAATTGGATTGGATTATTGCGTTTTAGCATATGGGAAGCATGACTGCTCAATGTACATCAGGTGTTTGTTATTTTGACTAAATGAACAGTGAGTGATCTTTTATCTTTATCTGTCCAAACGGGGAAGGAAGAGGGGGAGGGGATGCACTATCATTTCTTGTTGAGCATTTTATAGCCAAAGTGAATATGATCTCATCTGTGCGTGGATTTGATCTTTTGATTATTGAATTCATAATTAAGTATTATGCTATTTATTCATTAGAAGCAGTTATGGAAGATGAGGAGATAAGAGGAGGAGATAAACTCATATTAAGAGGGCTGAGGTTCCATGGTTTCCATGGGGTGAAACCAGAAGAAAGGACACTGGGTCAGAAGTTCGTGATAGATGTGGATGCTTGGATGGATCTTCGGCCAGCAGGCTTATCCGACTGCTTGTCAGACACTATTAGCTATACCGAAATTTACCGGTGAGTCCTTTTGGTGCTTATGATCGATCATCCAACGTTTGTTAGTAGTGTGACTAGGGTCTCATAGCTCCTTAAACTAGACATGCATAATTATGTATGCTACTAAAGTACTTTGTTTGTTTTGGTTATTGACTTTGGTCATCTAACAGCATAGTTAAGGAAGTAGTTGAGGGGCTGCCGCAAAATCTCCTCGAGTCGGTGGCTCAACTAATTGCTTCTACTACATTGACGAAGTTCCCACAAATATCTGCCGTCCGTGTGAAAGTTGGGAAGCCTCATGTTGCTGTTCATGGTCCTCTGGATTATTTAGGTGTTGAGATTCTTAGACGCAGAAGTGGGGATACGCCAAACTAAGTTTCTACTGCGTATCCATTCGGCACCTCATGTTGTGTTAGTTTGGAGTTGGGAGTTTTTTCAAGTTTTGTTCTGTGTTTCAACTTTTAATCTGGTGATTGTTTACTGTATCTTCGATGACCGTGTAATGTAATACAACTCACTACATTTTTATGGTTAGTTCGTGAGTTTTGAAAATTTTAATGAATTGAAGTTACATAATAAAAGATTACATGATTAGGGGGCAAAAAAAAAAAAAAAAGGCAATAACTATTCGTGGAAGTGTGATGGTATGGCAATAAATGTAGGACAAGAAAGAAGGAAGGAGAAACATGTTTATAGTTTGTTAAAGATGACATGGCTGCCCGTTATGAGTTTATTATATTATCGTTAGGAGTGTCTTGAACGGCTAGTGTATTAAAGAGGACAGGGAGAGAAATTTGGATTTGATTGAGGTATTTCTAAACAATTGTATTCTTCTCTCTGCGTTCTTTTCTCTACATTTTTCTCTCTAGTTTCATCTCTGAAACTTTTCTTGAGTTTTCCTTGTGCTCTGTTCTACTTTCGAAGTTGTATGATACTTTACTTTGATTGATTCAGTTTTTAATAAAGGTTTTTTAATGTTCAATCCATTGTAGAATCTACTATTTCTTTCTAGTTTTTCAATTACAGAATAAGAATTTGCATCATCAGGTCCAAGACATTAGGGTCGAGACTGGTCAGGGACACTGAGGCCGTGGTGCAACTTAAGACCAATTGGTTGTAGAGCAGATTAATTTCTCGAGTTTCTTGAAGTTCTAAAGTGATTGAATTATATTTTTATTTGAATTTGGTCTAAAACCTTTTCAATAAGAAAGATCTCCAGTTCCGTGCTCAATCAATCAAGAACTTTTGGGATTAAGGCTATTCAATCACACCCTAGCCGACCTTGATTGACTTTGATTTTTGGACCATCAAATCATGTCGGAGGATTTACCAATTTAGTGGCGTACATGTATAAAAGACTGTCATACCTCGTGACAACCTCTCTCCAAACTTAGCCCAAGCTTTCTCAGGTGAAGCGGCCTTGGGAAACATGGACTCTTGCTTCCGTGTAGATATATTTGTTAACAGTTTCCCTAAACAAATACAACAACAAAACCTTAATCCCAAACTAGCTGGGTTGGTAACATGTATCCTTTTGCACTAGCTGGGTTGGTAACATATATCCTTTTGCACCATTTAGCACTATCATACGCCAAAAACTGAATAAATAAATAATTATTATTGCCACCGAAACACATTTAAAGTCAAAATATTTTGATGATAATGGATATCAAGCTTTTGCAATCACGTTTAGCACCATTACCTGAGACAAAAACAAGATCATCACATCACTGCAGCTTTGCATACATGTTTTGACCATCGTTTTAGATGAAAACAAGATTGCTGATATCCCAACGCTATGGCATACATGACTGCAAGACACTGTCTCTACAAAAGATTCAACGACATGGTAGGAGATTTTTAACACTTCTACAGAACTTTCTACGAGGATTTGAAATATGGAAGTCAAAGCCGCTCAAGCAGCCATGCCACTTGGTTGACGATCAGCTGCTTTCCCTTTGCGGTTCCATATTGACGTGGTCTCAATAAGCTTATGTGGTACAAGCTGCCTTTCCTTCTTAGTGAGCTTGCGGAAATTGTGGACTCTTAGCTTGGCAATCTTAGCCTCCTCCTCAGGGGTTGTCTCCCTTACTACTACTGTCAGTCGACACTCCGGCTTCTCTCTAACTCCACTTCTTCCTTTTGCATGATAGGCAACTCTTTTTTTAAAAAATCCCTTTCCAACAAATGACTCAGCTGCACGTAAGAAGAATTGCAGGATAAGGGAAGTTCAAATAGAAGTAAGAGTGCAGGTTCGCTTGTATTACTTACCAACAAGGAGACGATCTGGATCCAACCCATGATTATGAGTTGCATTTGCTCGAGCTGAATGAATAACCTGCAAAACAAAGACTTCAGTTTCTTTTTATTTTTAATGGGAAAAAATTAAGTTTGACAAAGTTGAAATCCTGGCCACTACTAGAAAGGGTAAAAACTTTTGGTCTATTCCAAGAAATGAAGTATAAGCATTCAGGGATCAAAGACTAGACATGATTTCAGACTTTTTGCAACTGAGAATGAGCATGCATCATAAATATTAAAGTTACACTGATGCTCCTATTTTAAAATATCAACACGATTGCATTTTCATAGCAACATACCATAGGATAAACCTTCTAATTTTATTTCCATAAAGTGAGTCTTTTTCTATTGCTTCCTGCTTCCTCAAGAGACATAATATTTTGCTTGTTCAATTTAGATGTAGCCATCAAGAAAAAAGCAGAGGAGTCCAGATTCTAGACAGGTTGTCGGTAACCCCAGACTTGATGATGTTTCTGTACCAACTTATAAGCTGGTTTCTGTATTGCCTTCCTCAACAATCCCCACCCCATTCAGGGAACAGGAAACAATTTAAGACTGAATCTTCTATCACTACATTAAAGCTATAACAGGCTATAGAATTGTTGTATCACCTGGTAGACAGTTTTTGCGGCTCGCTTTACTGTCACTTGCAATTGCAATAGTGCATCTTCAACACGCATGCCACGAACTAATGCAGCAACCAAGTTGAGCTTCTTAGGACTCTGAAACCAGCAAGCTAAATTTATTCAAACAGTTATGGCACATCCTTATTCAATCGAAGCAGGGATAGAATAACTAATCTGCAGAAGACTACAGACTGGCTTGCCTAGTTGTAGTCTCTTAGACCAACCCTACACCATCCATCTTGGCCTTCTTGATCAAGTTATATCATAACAGGGCTTCCAGGTACCATATCAATGAATCTATTACTTGAGGACATTTATCCTACATTTTACACGAACTAACTAACTTAAAATAAATTCAAGGTATTTTCAATCCATAGGATTTAAAAGAGCCAGCTTCAGGGCAAAAAAAATTAGAAAATGATTCTCCCAAAAGGATCATATTCATCTTCACAACATTGAACCTTAGGAAGTCCCATCGTCTACATGGATCCAAATCCCAGCCGATCCACTACATATGCAATATATGTACTAGTTTTGCAACTCGTTCAAAATCTGAAACTTAGATCACTGCATTGAAATGATTCCAGCCAAATAGAGATGATGACTAGACTTTCTACACATTGATTGTTCAAAACCATCTTTTTTACCAACTTTAGCAAAGAAAGAAGTTTTGTACAAGTAGAAACGTGAAGCAATTAAGTTCCATATTTCAAGGACAATCCGATTCTCATGAATAACACATCAATTCACTTTGTCAGCTTTGATCAAGTTGATAGTAGGCATTTTATGAGTATTTTTATTGATTATCAGTAAAATGATCACCAAGGATCTTTAATGAACAAGGGGAATTTTGGGGAGTTATGAATTAAAGTGTATAATGCACAAAAAAAATAAAAATAAATAAATAAATTAGCATCTCATACCATTTTTATGCCCTTTAATACTGCTTGAACTTTTTCAGGTTTAGAGACTGCGTTTTGTTCTTCAGTTTTTCCACTACCTATTGCTAGCACAGGAGTCAACAGAGATGAAACGGGTTGTTCCTCTGAGGAATCTGCCAGTAATTTCCTTGAACTGGAAATGCCCTGGAACCATGACAGGTGCAGCAAATTATGTTTGCAAAACTAAGCAAAGTAAAATAAAAGGAACTCATGCAGGACAAAAAAAAAAAAAAAACCCAATCTTGATTAGCAACAACCAACCATATTAATCAGAGGGCTAAGTACATCAAATCAATAATCTATGTCGTTCAAGTAAGTCGAATGAAGGTGAAACTAAAAAAAAAAATCCATATATCAAGTGTAGACCTTCAAATCATTCCACCAACGGCTGTTTAATTCCAGGTTACACACAAAGGACCAAGAAAATGCCCAAGGGTCACGCATCCATTCTGAATCAGAAGATTCATACTCTTAAACAGTTTCTGTAAATTACCAAGTGACCAAAAGACCATGTTATATGAGAATAAAGAGATTTATTAATTGGTTAATATCAGTATGGCCAAAGACACAATCCTATACAACTTTGTTTCAACATCAACTTTGTACTGAATGAGATTCCATAAAAACACTCTTAAAATATCCGATACAACTCCCAGTACACAATGGCGCATCGTAACTAAAAATATAACGCATTTTACAATGGAGAAAAAGGACGTGAACGCCATATTTATAACAATACAGTACAAGTGAAAAGGAAAAGGAGGTGGTGAATTAGCATTACCGACTGTTGCAAGAGCCGATAAAAGGGCCTCGTCGAAACATTAGCAGAAGGCAATTTCCACAACCTCTGTAAACAAGGTAACTCGCCTGCCAAAAAAAGAACTCCGCGTTATCATTCCAAAAAAAAAAAGAGACCATAAAGCTAAAATATTCAGTCAGCTGAAAAAGACCGACCAGTTAGAACAGAAGAATCCGAGCGAGTAGCTGTAGTGGTGGTGATAGCAGAAAAATTAGCAGAAGAAGCAATGTAATTGTGCTCAGCCCTTCTCCGAACTTGACGAATTAAGGATTGTAAATGTCTTTGCCAAACCACCATGACTTCAAAACCCTATGCATCAACAAAATGACAAAGCTTTCGATTTAAAAAGAGTACTGTAAAACCCTAAATCCTTATCAAAGAAGCCCAGATTAAAGCATTCAATATGTGATATTTACAAGTAAAGAAGTCGATGGGAGATCATCATCATCATTATTATTACCTGATTCAAACAGTCACTACAAACTTATAGACAGCGTTAAAGAGGAGAGAAATGGCAGCAAACGGCTTCAAGAAGAAAGACAGCAGCTTCTCATCAGAGCTGCTTCGGCAGTGTTTTTCTCGTGGACAGCTCCTTAGGTTCTAGTTGGGCTGGGAAGGAAAGAAATTAAGAAACTGATTTGAGAAGCCCGGACCATATAAGACTTACAAGGTTATTCGTTTTTGTCCAGAAGTTTTCGGCCCGAATTTCGCACAGAAATCAAGAAACCAATTTGAGAAGCCCGGCCCATATAAGCCTCAGAAAGTCGTTCGTTTTTATCTTGATGTTTGCTAGAAATGTGGTTTTTTTAAAGTAAAATATTAACAAACAAACAAGGCATTGGAAATAATTTTATTAAATAATAGGGGAAACACACTTAATTCAAATGAGTTATTAATATGTCATTACAAAGCAATTAATTAATATGAAGATGGGATCCCACCAAGTCTTACCATTCATTTTTCCTCTACAACATCAACGAAAGCACCCTCACAGATATAGTAATCAGATAAGCGTAATTCTTTGTTCAAATAATATTCCTTCATTGGGGAGTCGTCAAGACGAATCAAAGCAATTTTATCTATTGGAATGTTCAAAAGATGTTTAATCTTTTGACGCAAATATCCCACTGTATATGTCTCTTTCACCTTCATCGTAGTCAGAGCACGATCTGAGAGCCTAAGAAAAATATCAAACTCAGGATCTCCAGGCAAGGGGGTAACATCAAGATGAATCAATGCTTCTTCTCTGAAGCCATAAGATCCAACTGAGCGAACATTTTCTAACTCTACACCACCACGGTTAAACCTCAGAGTTTGCCTATCCACACAAATACCAGTAATTGCTTTTATCATTATCTTCAACTCCTTCATACTTGAAGATTCTGGCATTTCAAAGGCAGGTGTAGCCATTCCTCCTGCAATCTTGCACTGCACAGGGGCCATCTTGAAAGTATAACTTTTGTACTATTATTATTATTATTTATTTTATTTTTTTATGAGATATATATAGTTCCTGGTAGCTGACACAAAAAAGTGGAAATTGTGAATGGGTTTATATATAAATAATTCATGTTTGAAGTAAATAAGATGGCTGATTGCATGTTCCATTCATTCCGAATGCATTTTATTGGAATATAATGAAATATTTTCATTCCAGATCATCATGTAATATTCGTTCACAATTTATAAACCCGTACTCTTTTCTTGTTGGTGTGATTTAAGTGAGAATATTGTACAATAGAAGGATAAAATAAATGTTTTTCTTGGGGCTTTAATTCATGAATAACAATTTGCGAATGATTAACTTCTTGCATTTATCATTATTTTTTTAAGAAAAATTTATAAATGGTCATTGTTCCTTCTGCTTCCTCTTATGAGGAAAAAAAAATTATCGCTACATCAATTTTAATCATAATATGTGAAAATTGATTTTAAAATACTTGAAAATTAATAAGAAAAATATTCTACTTAGTTAACATTGTCGTTAACATCTTCCATCTCTCTCTTTATGTTTTTTATTTATTTATTTATCATAAGAGTATTTTCATGCTAGTTTGTAAGGATAGCCATTTAGTTTTTTAGTTCGGTTTTTAATATTTCAGTTAACTAAACCTGAAAAAAATTGAATTCGAACAGATTTACTATTCTATTTTTGAAATCAAAATTTTGGTTTTCGAGTTTAGTTTTTCAGATAAAACTGAATTTAAGAAAAAAATTAAGATAATGTAAATATATCCAAAAAAATTATGTTATGAATCACGATATCATTTCTCTATGTTCAAATGGTCTAAGTTAGTCTATATGAAAAATAATAAATATTTCTTAAATAAAATTAAAGCATAAAATTATAACACTTAATAAGGTATCAAAATTTAAAAGCTAATCTACTAATCCATATCTAAAATATGTAATGATAAAAAATAAAAAAAATATTGATTGTTTAAATATGTTGAAAACCAAATTACTAAAATTCAAATATCAATCAAAAGTTTAAAATAAATAATAAAGAATCAGCTTTATGTGAAAATCAAATCAAAAGTTTCAAAAACCGAATCAAAACTAAAAAACAAAATAGATATTTCAATTAAAACTGAATACTATCAATTAAAACCAAATACTATTTATTCTACTAGTTTGTACATCAATTGAAATTAATTTTTTTTCAAATGCTTATAAGAGGGTATCCTCCAAATTGACATAGTGTAATTAGAAATTTAATAAGTTTTTCAAATATTAACATTATCAAGGCTTGAAAAAATAAATAAAGAAGAAAACAAATTTCTTTGTCCACCTTGCTATCCTCTTGAAGTTGATCTCCCTCGTTCATTAACTGGGGTTTTTCTAACAAAAGTTTGAAGAGTATTTTCTTAAAACAAAATAGTTTAAAATTTTTATTCTTAAAATAAGATATTTTTAATCTTATTTTTTATAATAGAGTAATTTATGCCACATAGACTTCATTGCTTGTTCATGTCATTAAAATATATATTTTTAAAATTTTTCATTTAGAAAATTAAATAATGAAATAGGAGAGAGAAGGCATAGAATTTTATAATCCCCCTTACTTTCTTCTTCTTCTTCTTCTTTTTTTTTTTTTTTTTGGTCTTTCTATATTTATATTTTCCTTCTTCAATTAAATTCTTTTTACAGCTTTCTTCAAAAAAAAAAAAATTACATTTTACATCATTAGAAATATTATACCAATTTAGTATCAATAACCACGCTATAAATCTATAATCTTTTTGCAATTGTAAAGACGAGTTTTAAAATTATTTTGTTGCCATCAAATTATTTTTTAATTTTCTACTATTAAATACATCAATTGATTTTTTAAAAACCATTTAGAAAAAATATGAAAATACAAGTAGGTTGTAAAGGGGATTGATGAACTCAATAGAAAATTTAATAATTTTTTTCTCTCGATGGATTCTCCTACACATGCATCAAATAGCTATTTCTCACAAAAATATTTGTATATCAATATCACATACAATTATATTGGTAAAAGTAATATAAATATAATAAATAGCACATTTCATAATTAAAAATTATTATTAAATTACTTTAAGTATCACGAGATACAAGCCAATTAGAAAGCAATAGAAAAAAATAATAATGATGGCTTGCTTAACCATTGTAAGCTTTCAATGGTTGCAGTGTATGGTAAATCATGTAATTTTTATTATTAGAATGCATATTTTCTAACTGGATGTTTTAATATACGTAACTTATATTATTAGATATATGTAAAAAGCTCCAACTATCAAGAAGTCGTCGTATATAAACATTAAAATCATGAATGTAGAATAAGAAAAAGTTTGAATTTAATAAGAAAAAAAAGGCATATTGTCGTATGGATATTGCTTTGAAAAGCTATAGAGATATATTCATGATAAAGAAGAAGTTTTTTTTTCCTATTTTAAGAAATATATATTTATATGAAAGTATAAAACAAAAAGGAAGAATATAAATATTAAGTATGATATATTTATTTTTTTATTTAGTATTTTCTTTATTTTCTCTTTTACTTAAGTTAGTAATTAAAACAAATGATGACATGAATACATAATAGAGGTTTAGGTGGCATGAACTAACATATTATAGTAAATAAGATTAAAACTAAAATAAAGATAAAAAAAAAAGCCTTATGTTGGAACTTAAATAGGGTGGGCTCAGCAGTTAAGTCAGCTCCAACAAAAGCCCTACGTGCCTTGTTTTCTGTTGTACTACCTACTACTTTGCAAGCCTAAGCCAACCTGTCGTGTCAGTCTCCACGTACAGATGGATGGGCATGAAACTTTCTGTCTTTAAATTGCTCTATCCAAGTCTTTATTACCTGCCACATCCTAACTAACATCTTACCTGTTGGCAATTGTTTTTGCATTGAAAGATGATCATTAAGATGCTTTGCTCAGTGCATCATGGGGTGTCTTTCAAGATGATGAACCCTTCATATCTCCATAAAATTTTCTTGTACCGAATTACATAGACCTTCTAAGGCATCATCGCAATTTATAATGCACTGAACTTTTTTCTCTCTTTAATGTCTTTCATGAATTGGTATTGACAGTCAACTGGAGAAGTCGAATGATTTTGCCAAATAAATCGATTAATTTTATAGCCAAATAATAGTAAATGATTAAAACTGCTAACTAACAATAATAAATTATATAAAAGTGATTTAATAAAGTTAATCTTTCTCTTGGAATACGATAGATGACTATAAAGTATGAAATTTGAGTTCTTTACAAAGCCCATCAAAGCTAGGCATCTGACAATTAAGAATCATTTTTCTGATGACCTTATAGTCACTTAACCCAACACTTTAAAAAACATGTTTTATATCCTATATGTTTTTACTATATCCTCTACTTTTTACTATATAAAGGGAATCACTTCAGCATTAAACTCAAACTCACGTCCATCAACTTTAATGCATACAATATTTCAAAGAAAACTCTCTCTCTCTCTCTCTCTAATATTTCATATCTATATAGTATACATCAAAATTACTAACTTAACCATGATGATAATTATATTGGGCACCATCTAGCACCACTAGCAGTGATGCTTGTGCTTTATACTTATACAACTTTAAAAAATGTCACCATTATTTCGTCGGTCTCTTAAATATCAACTATAATAAATTTAGATGCTAAAATCTCGAACATCATTAGTGGAGCCGTATGTAAAAAACTAAATAAAAAAGCCAGTTTTTCAACTTCCCATTCAATCTTCATAGCTTCTTAACTTCTAATTCAACAATAATGGTGTCCTTTTTTTTTATCTAATCAAAATCTTAAATTTCCATATATATATATATATATATATATATAATATTTGGTTGTACATCACATGCTTCACCCAAGTATCCATAACTAAGACGAAGCAAGATCTTTTTTAATTTAAGAAGCACATAATCATAAAAATGACATACATATTTGTCATAATCATCTCCTCGTAGTAGAGAGGATAATCAATTTATTTATTCATATAGCCATTTTGTCTCTATCATACTCATACATTTTTAAAATAGTATTAATTTACACTATATGGCATACATTCCTCCATTCGTTTAAACACATTTTCAATTATTAATTACTTAATTATTCTTTTCCTTAATCGCCATTTGTTTTATTTGGTATCTACTCCACTATATTGTTTAAATATTCCGATGCTAGAATGTAAATGAATAATGTAAAGTAAATTACACGAACTATAACTACGCTATCATTTTACTATGGTACTTTGATTACATACAAGCTATTATTTACGTACAAAACCCGTTTAATGCCAACTATTACAAGAATGACTTATTAACTATTTACATTCATTTCTTTCTAATCATTCATATACTTTTTCATTACTTTAACTATTACATAGAAAAACATGGACACGGCTATAAAGTAAACTAGGATACCGAGTACAATAATCACTATGGTGTGTATGAGATCCACCCTCAAACCACATCAAATGTATACACGATGAGCGAGATCCCTCGGTAGTCAGCTCAAAAGTAAAGAATACCATCTTTACTTGTGTTAGCTACACAACAAACATACAGGTGAGCGACAACTCGGTCGGTTAACTAATGCATGCTTTGCATGTATAAATCATTTGCATGTTCGTGTGAAAATCATTTTTCATGTCATAAATACTTTCCATGATCTATTTGAAAATCCTTTTTCATCTTTGAACATGCGTCATTATAGGCACTTTAGGGTTTTCATAATATATGTTTGACGAACCGGACCCATCTACGGATGCGCCCTCTCAAACCTCTAAAAGTTCACGTCCGCACTTGTCCAACCATGAACCATTACCATTAAAGTATGGAAAACTCATGAAGTCCTTTCTCATAAATTTCTCAAAATCATGAAAATCTCATTCCTTAAAACATTTCCAATTGCTATTGAAAAACCATGACGTAAAAATATGTTTTC